ATCCTGTCCACACACTCCCGTTTATTACGATAAGCTACTGAGAAATCTGTCTTAAAGATGGAAGTTGTATATTTCTCCAAGACACGGGTATCCGTGGCGTCAGAGCCCACAGTAAAATGAATACAAATATACGGATGAGAGTCCTTGAATGCATTCATTAAAATATAGTTATATACCACCGATATCGGAATTTGACAACATGGCGTCTAATGACTAATGAGGAGCTTCATAACTTGTAGCCTTCTCCAAGTATTATTAGAATGATCAAGTCAAGGAGGATGAGATGGGCTGGGCATGTAGCTTGAATGTGGAAGAGGAACAAATGCATATAGGTTGTTGGTGGAAAAACCGAAAGGAAGGAGACCACTGGGAAGACCAAGACGTAGGTTGGTGAACAATATTAAAATTGATCTTAGAGAGATATAATGGGATGGTATAGATTGGATTGATCGGCTCTGGATAGGGACCAGTGGAGGGCTCTTGTGAATACGGGAATAAACCTTTGGGTTCCATAAAATGCTGGGAAGTTCTTGAGCATCTGCACAATAGGCAGCTTCTCAAATATGACTCAGCTCCATGAGTGAGTGAGGGCGACTAGTGACTGGGTAATTAAGCAAGAATGAAAACCTGCCCGGAAATGTGGTTAGCAGAAGTGACTGCATCTATAAAAGCCTTCTGTCAGAATAGTCGTTACCCCGGTCCAGATTCGAACATGGGATCCACTGAATATAAGCCATAGGCGTTATTAATTATGTATTTTAATTTATGGTTTTACTTAACGACAGTGTCAGTATTTCAGGCTATATCCTGTTGAATTCTATTGTGATAGCGATTAATGAACTGAAAGGCCGAGGAATGAAGCTTTAGTCGTCCATTTTGAGGCACAATTCCAGCACCTTCCTTGTATGAAGGATGAAATTCACTAAAAGCCTCAGTAATAATTATCAGTGTTCATACCGAGATTCAAAGCAGGGACCTCACGAATAAGAGTCAGAATCGTCATATTTTTTGAGCGAACTGACTTCGTATATTTTTGGTAAAGAAACCGCACCGCAAGTCAAAGTTCAAATGTCGTTTAGTACAAAGTTTTCTCTTCCGACTCGTATTATACAAAAGTATGGAAAAGGGGAAGTATCTCTTAGCTCAACTGGTTATAAAGAAGACCATACATGAATAATTCAAGAATATAACAGCAAGGAGAGTACAGAAGCGGAAACAAGAAAGCCTGGGTCGTGAATAGAGCTTGGATAATACAGCAAGGAAAAGTTCCATTGTCAGTAGGTGCAAGTACGTTCTTTAGAATCAGAAAAGGAGGAGCGGCGGCAGTGAAAATTAAAAAACACGGACATCCTAATCCAATAAGTATGTAATAACAAAAAGTTTTTCGATCAGCTTTACTGATTCGTTTCTATAGTCTTACAAATCAATCAATATTCCAGAAGACAGATTCGACGCAAAATAGCTAACACAGTACTATGTAGTCGTATTTTATTTAATATTCTTATCGTGTTGGTTATGTGACAATATTTCCTTAAGATTTCAGATTTTCACAGTGAACCAGCTCACTGAAAAGACAACGCGTATAGCTTATATTCAGTAGATCCCATGTGTGAATCTCGACTGGGGTAATGACTATTCTGACAGAAGGCTTTTACAGATTCAGTAACTTCTGCTAACCAAATTTCTGGGCTAGTTTTCATTCTTGCTTAATTACCCATGACAGCGATTAGCAGTGACGTTCCCGTCAAAGTGGATAATGATTTATCTGCTATGAAGTCCCTAAACTGATAACGTAGCAAGAAACGGAATTTGAGTAGTTTTGGGACACGCTGTATATACAGATGTCATCATGATATGCCATGCAGTACATCACAGCTGTTAAGAGTGCGGAACCTTTGATCCGTCACAGCCCGTGATCGCAATAAGTTAAACCAAACGCCAGATCTGTAGCCCCATTTATAAATTGGTGACATTGGTTGTAACCGGACAGCAAGATAATGATGTATGGAGTTCCCTTATGTGCATGTAAATTGGTAACACGTCAACAAAGCTGCAGACACAGCACTAACAGATAAGGACACAAGTCACCACCGAAGTAGAGAGTCTGTAGACTCCTCTTCGAACGCGAATCCGTAAGCATAATTCCGAAATTTAAATTCTATACATATTTTTAAAATGAGGTCTTAGCACTTTTAAAAATTCCATTAATTTCGATGTGTTCTTTTGGGCTCATATTACAAATGTCTTGTTGCAGAGAGATAGGGAGCATTTGTCTTCGTGTAGTCAAAAGTATTCACCACTTCAAAAATATTTTTGTAAATACTGTACAGGATGATTCTAAATTATTGTCGGGGTTTCCCTTTATAAGTCACTGATATCTCGACAATAATTTGGAATCAGTCTATAGACTCAATAGCATCAATATTTTTGTGTCCCCTTTTACAAATGTTTCAGTATTTCTGACAAAATGCCTCAGGAAGAAATGTCAATATTATGGGAAGTCACAATATCGGTAATTCTAAGGAAAATAGAGTGTATATGTACATGTGACCTATTCCGAAAGATTTCCGAGATAGAGTCATTTCACCGTACACCACACTGTACAGACGAGCAACACGCCATGTCCTCACACGAGTTACGAAGCGCATTGATGTTGACGGCGGAATTTTTGAAAATATATTTTACTAAGTAAACTGAGCTAACTTTGTCACTTGAACAAAATATACCCGTCTTAGAAACAGTACGTAATATCTCTTTCTTATCAACAATTTTGCAACTGTACAGTGAAACAGCTCTATCTTAGAAACTCTTATGAATAGGACATATGTACATATACAGTTTTGTTTAGAATAGCAGATACTATGACCTCCCAGAATATTGACCCTTCTTCCTGGGACATTCTGTATAGTGTCGAATAATTATATAGCTGGTGAATATTGACTTGAAAAGAATTTTGAAGGACTAGGCCTTAGCTTAATCGAAATTCTATTCCGGAATTTATGTGGAATGACAGAAAATAATTGAAAACCTCAGGTTAACTAGTGTCCCAGCTGAGATTCAAACCGTACACCTCCCGAATACAAGTCCTGAATGTTACCGTTGTATCAAACTTCTTGTTGATGAAATTATGTTTTATAGAAAATGAAACAAAACAGAGAATGATTGGTAAGAGTGAGTGTGGTGTGGATGAAATGGTATACATAAAGCAATTGTATTGAAGGAAAAAATTATTATTCTAAAGTGGAACTAATAAAAAGAAGGAACATTACCCGTAAAACACTTGTGCCGGTCACGGTAGCCGAGCCTTCCAAGGCATGTACTGTCTTCGCTCGCTCGGAAGTCGGGATCGTGGGTTCGGATCGGTTTCCTGTGAGGTACGAACTGAATTCTTATATATTATTCTTATACCTGCCGGTCACGGTAGCCAGGCGTTCCAAGGCATGTACTGTCTTCGATCGCTCGGAAGCCGGCATCGTGGGTTCGAATCCCACACAAGGCATGGATGTTTGATAAATGTATGTGTTTGTTCTGTGTTTGTGTTTTCCTGTGTTTAGCTAGAGGCTTTGCGACGAGCTGATTACCCGTCCAAGGGGACCTACCGTCTGTAAAATGATCATGAAACTGAGAAATCAGCCCTATGCTCCAAAGCTACAGCAAGATAAGAAAAAAGACTGGTGTTACGCGGAAGGATCCGGTTGTATCACGCACAAAGTAATAAACCAGCCTATAAACTGTTATTACAGAGACAAAAATTATCTCAAGTTAGACTTGCTCATCAGCATACGTCTTCGTGACGATAGTGCTTAATTAAGCGCAGATACAACTTCACAAACTCTCGCTGTTACGTAGGAATACGCAGAAGTTGCGGGGGCTGGGGGTGTAAGGGAGACAGAGACGGGCCGGTTTTGAAATCCCCTCTCTTCTTTAGTGACAGGTTACACACGCTCTAGTTATTTCGCGACATCATGCGTGAAATAGCTTCAGTTCCTGCAGAGTGCGCGTCACAGCTTTGCGTGACAGCAGATTGTCTTGCTTTGAGAGCCCTGTCAATAAATGAAACTATTTTATTTCAATTTTCTTAGTCTCAAACGTCCAATTTCATGATACAGTGTAACCATACTTATGTTTGTAGACGTCAAGAAACTTGTATAAATTTCATAACAGCGTCGTTAAACAACCTAAAGTCCCCGTATTGTGAGAATCTACGACGT